ACAGATAATGCTGCCCTGTACCCAAGTAGAAAATAAATAAATAGATAAAGGAACTTTACCAGCTGTCTCGAGAGAAGGAGGTGATCAGTCGAATCCCGGGAGCCAGGGGAGACTTCATTGTTGATTAAAGACCGGTTAAAAACTTCTCAACTTAAACTGTTACCACTTAATCCTAAACATCGTGTCCTCGAAACTGATACTCAGATAAGGAGGTTTGTAACTAAATACCGAGTTATAGCTAACAGAGGGGACGTTTTCCGAGGGCAGTCGTCGGGTGGGGAAAAATAAGGAAGAATGGTAAAAGCAGCCGAAGGATAAAAGCAAACGCTAGCTGCTAGATGTGAAAAGCGGCTGCTGCCCGGCTTCTAGGACGGAGATAGAGTCCGTTAACATCCAGCAGAGCTCCATAATGTCCCTCTAAGTTTATATACACCGAAGAGAAGAGCCAGCCTACCTCCCCGAGCCTGAATCAAAAAACACGATGGGGAAAAACGATGGAAAATAATAAAGAGTTACTAATAATACTCGGAGGATATGCACTGCTCCAGAAGGTTTTCCAGGAGGAGCGAACCTCCCGTCGTCAATAACAGCTGTTACGTCACAGCGTCGCTTTGTACAGAACGAGTATGGCAAGACATTGTTAACAAAAATCCAGCCACTTTCTGACCACTAGTTAGGTGGGGTTAAATCAGTGGTGTAGAATTTTTTTGTTGTTGTCAAATTTTGGTCAATATTATATAAATAAAAAACGAATCTTCGAACAGAAGACCTTAATTTTCTTATATTAGGAAACTTGAGAGAGGCAATGGAAAATAAACAGAGATACGAAAATTTATACAAACTTAAATATATGAGCTCTGCAAAGTTATTATTGAAAAATAGTCAAAACATTTAAATGTTTAGGTTCAATAGAAAAATACAGCAATAGTATTAGAAAAATTGCAATTGTTATGAGTAGAAAAACACACAAAAAATATGATTGTAGAAAAAGCTCTATTTAATAAAATTTAAAAAAATTGCCCTGGAAAAAAAAAAGTTTGTGCCATGGGGAATTCTAGACTGGAGCCAATAAGGTCAAGTACCCCTGTTCCTGGCCCCTCTTGGGGCCCCCATACTAGAGACATCATATTAAATTAATTTAGAATAGAAAAATCGAATAGAAAATCCCTTTATTGTCACACAATAGGGAAACTGTGGTGTTACAGCAGCAAAAAGGTTATAGCAGAAGTGGTCACACAATGTGGACATTAGAAAAGTGTATTAAAATAACAGAATAAGTGACAGATTTAAGAAAATAAACAAGTACTGTATGTTATGGTGTTTTTAAAATATAAATACTCTGTATCTGGAGAGTAAATATTTAATAAACAGCTGTGGGCATTTTAAAGTAATGGCTATGTGAAAAATAGCAGCAACACCAGAGATGTTTAAAAAAAAATCCTATGATGTTTGCTGGCACAGAAACTGTAACTGACTGTTCCCTTTGAAAGAGTTGATTTTTGACTTTCAGGCTTACTTAAAAACTGATTTTAAAATGCAGGTATTTAGGTAGGATCAATTTCTATCTGCAGCTCCAGGGCTGCAAGACGCTCTTTGGCTCATTCACTATATTAAACAATGAAATACTACCCTGTTGGTCATGTCATTTATTCGTTCTGTGCCCCCATACATAAGCAGTGTATGGGGGCAAATTTGATCTAGAACTGGCACTGGGTGATGCATGTACCATTTTTTAACTGCTGTATATAAAGACATCTAGTGGCTTCACCCCTGGCTGAACCACCCTCCAAAAAACATTTAATTAAAAATATAGTTTCACAGTTTCTCTTTGTTTAGATTTGACAAGGTATCAAAAAAAAAAAAAAAACACAGATTCTGGTCTTTATTGATATAGCATCATTCAGTAGATTTTTTTGCCTGCAAATTCAAGTGGTGCTCTTCATTGTGGCTTATTAAAACTCATTGACCTGTTCATGACACTAGTTTAAGGTGATTCAGGTTTTGGTTCATTAACCTGCTGGTTTCAGTGAACCAATCAGAGGAGGAGTATACTTTGAAAGGAGGTGGACCAGGTCAGTGGAAATACTTAGGTAATCTGCAGCTTTCAGATGACACTTAAGTGGCACAAAAGAGTCCAAAGAGTACCAGCATACATCCCCCACTTAATTACACAACCAACCTGAAGAGACTCAAACCTGTAAGAAAAAACAATGCTGGGGAGACTCTAAACTATGGCCTTGTTTTTGTTGTTAGTGGAAAGAACCAGGTGTGGGCTACTGCTGCTGCTTTGCACCGTCAGCTGGAAATGTGTTGAGCTTCCAGACACTGGTTTCCCAGTTCTTTAAAAACAGGCAAACAGGATGAAGGGTTTAAGTCAGTGGGATCACTCATATTTAAAATGGGGCGGCATTATACTCATAATGATCTGAACTGGAGAAGCCTTTTTTTTTTTTTTTTTTTTTTTTTACAGTAAAAAGCCTTCAGGGAAAAGGAGAGGTCATCCAGCTTCCATCATTTCATGGATGACAGAGAACCCTGCTTGTAAAACATTGTGAATCCGCTAATTTTCCTGTGCCTTCTGACAAGGCATTTAACCTACAGCTGCTTACTTGGTATTTAAATTTGGACCACTTTCTGTAAACCTGAGAGGTGGTTCTATGTGAAAATCCAAGTAGACCATTTCTTACACCTTAAGACATGTCTGGCTTCCCATTACTGGATGATCAGAGACAATCTAACTTATTCCTCATCCTGCTTGGTTTGTAGGTTTTTGTCTTGACCACTAGCTGGCTAAATGTATGGTTTTACTGTCGCACATCCTTAAATGGTTAATAACCGATTATTTAAATACATTTTTAACAATATATCCATATTGACTGTAAGGACATCTGGTTAAATGCCTCCACTCAATATATACTCTGGTTTTTTACTTTGATCAGAGGATCAGCAAGCATTAATACCTAAACAGAGATCAAAAATAAAAGATAAAATACAGACATTTTAGTAAATATTATACACTGAAATTACAGCATGAATCTGAAAATCCTTACCTGGAATACAATCAAATGTAAATATGTGGGCAAAACCTGCAAATATGAACTAGGAAAAGCCCCCTAAAGTCCATCTAGGATTCATAAAGCTTCTTCTAAAAAAAATATCCTTCATTCTTGTTAAAGACAGGAGCTCAATGAATTAGAAAAGCCTTTTATTTTCTTTGGCGATAACATTTTAGATATCCAAAAAAAGCCCTTCTGAAAGCCAAAAAGTTCATCTTGACAGGAAATTGAGCTGTGGATTTATAACTTTTTGACTTATCACTATATGACAAATAGCTTGCCGTACTAGTTAGGAAGACAGGTAATGTTTAAAAAAAAAAAAAAAAATTACTAAAAAGTGCAGTAAGTTTTTTTATGACCCTGATTATTATTAGAACTTTGAGCATTTTATTATAAGCACTGAGAAGACTACAAGGTTGTGCCAGTTTCATATTGAATTAGACGACGGATCAATTTTAACTATACTGCTTTTTGTTTCATGCAATTTTGCTGACTTTGAACTGGAAAAACTTGTTTCATTATACTGAGAACAAGTCACTCCAAAGGAATGTACTGACCTGGTTCCTATCTAAACCAGCCAGCTTTGCTAAGGCTTTTTCAGACTAAAACTGTGGATGACATATTTAAAATGAATTACAAGCTTTACTTACAACTTTTATAGCAGGACACTTGAGCAGGCTGCAATTATTGTGCAAATGTGCCTCAAGCAAGTCTTATTCCTATTTTTCGGTGCTGAAAATGAATGTTATTTTACTAATTAAATTAAAAGCATTCCTGATTTATTACATATGTTGCCAAAATTTCAAAACATGGTGATGAGAAACAGTAATATTTACATAAGTACAAGTGTTGATAATTCAGCTAAAGTATCGGTTTTTAAATTTTTCATTTTACATTTTATTAATTTTTTAACAATCATGTTCGGGTGTTCAACATTAAGTATGCTGATGAAATTTACAATAATTGTAAAGTTAATCAGATCAATGATTGCAACAGGAAAAAGCAAGTTGGTAAACTAAAAATTATGTTTTTTGCTCTAATAATAGAGAAATTGTAGTTCATCCAGGAGAGACTCAGTGAGTGAAGTACTAATTAGAATCGTTTATTGCCATGAATAATATATAAGTTCTTTGGTGCTCGGACACCGGCTGAAACCTTTGTGTTCAGAGCTGATGGATGATCAGATCGGTGGATTTAACAGAGAGAGGATAAGACTTTCCCCGGTGTCCGGACACTGATGGTTTAATAAGCCCAGGATGAATCGGATGGTTCCTGTCCACAGTCACTTCTTGGGCAACGAGGGGGGAGGTGGGTAGAGAGAGGGCTGGTGAGCAGGAGACATGGAATGACGCTGGAAGGAGAACTTGCAAATCGATTGGCTCCAGGGAGGGTGCGGCCCCGAGGCTGACTGGCTGAGGTTTGAAGGGAGGCCTCCAGCAGGTGATAAAGGTGAGGCTGATCAGAGTCCTCCAGATTGAATATATGCTTAAGCTTCATTTATAACAATAAAAAAAACAGACGTAATAATACTAATAATCAGGCCAGTCAAACAGCAAATGAAGGAAATGTAGAAAACAAAGAGATAAACAGACTTATGGCAGCATGTGGCTAAAATTACAAAGATCTGTTTTGTTTTTTATCACGGATGGATGGTCAATAGAACCACTTTAAAATGGTCAGCATTGTTTAGTAATAATCAAATAAATCTTAGCGATACCTGGCAAACCTCTGTTTTGTTTTGGTGTCACGTTTTAATCGATGCACTAGAGAACATTCTGCACTTTAACACATTTCTGACAATCTGCAAAATGTCTTTTTTTACATTATGGTTTAAATAGAAATTCACAAGATATTTGATATGGCCTTTCAAAAAAAAACCCCCAAAAAAACTATAAATGACTAACTGACTGAAAGCATCAGTAAACCAGCAGGTACACACAGACACATGTGAGATGTTATTTTTAATACTTCTTTGAAAGAGATGGAAAAAAAACAGCAGTACAGGTCAAATCTTGTAAACCTGCCCAATAAAACAGAGCAGAGTTCAAGTTTAAACAGATACTAAATCCCTGATTGAGTTTCTGATTCTTTTAAGTTATGTTAATCATTAGCTGCACACAGCTCAAATATTAACAAACCTAATAACTTACAATAAATACATGAATAAAATTAGCAAAATTCAGAACAGTCCAGAAAAGTCAAGGTGGGGACTTAATTTTCCAATCAGTGTTTCATTAAACAATAAAATAACATGTGGGGAAAGTTACATTGAACTAATTATTCTGCAAGGTAAATATGCAATAATCCAGGTTTAGTCTTTCGGATACTTTGGATTAGTGTGTTTGAAAAGAAGCGATCTCCATTAGACAATGCAGCTCCGTTCACTTTAGATCCAAACTCACCAGCGCTGAACGTAGAGCTTTGGCATATGCTGTGGAGGAGGAGAGAAACCTTTCAGAAACAGCTTCAGAGGCAGTGTGTGTTTACAGGGACCAGAGAGTGCCATCAGTACCTCTGGGATTGTTGTGGAAGGAACAGTTGTTGGCACAGGTATCAGGGTGGGAATCCCAAAAAGAGGAGGCACAGCAGCAGAGAGGAGGCAGCTCCAGCTTTGTCTGAGACAGGCGCTCCTTCAGCTGAGCTCTCAGAGATTCAACAAACCTGCAGAGATTCACCAGAGCTGCTGATATCTCCTTTCACTGTAAACAATCCAGCTTGTTTGCACATGTAATAATACAAAATAACAATATATAACATAAAAACAATGAGGTTCGTGTTTAAATGAATCAAAGTAAACCACAAATTGCTCGTTGAGAGTTTAGTTTTTTTTTTTTTTTTATTGGCCTAAATATGGTCATCAAAGAAAATTTTACAGCCATGAGAGTAAAAGGCTCATATGTGAAATGTGAGCAAATAAGTATGGAAGCAAATCATTACCATATTTAAAATGAAAAAGCATTTTCAGAAATACTTTTTCATTTTAAGAATATGGCTGCATTGTACTAATTTTATTTATGAGCCAAATAATGCAGCCACATTCTTAAAATGTAAAAGCATTTCTGGAAATGCTTTTTCATTTTCAAATTTTACATTTCAAATTGAATTTTGGTATGTATTTGCTGGGGTACATTTTGAAAAATAAATCTCAAATGTCTTTTTCATTTTAATTAAGTAAAAGGATGAGTGGTGTTAAAGAAGAAAATGAAAATTCAAACAGGATTATTGATTACTAATTTCATTTATGAGACAAACAATGCAGCCACATTCTTAAAATGAAAAAGCATTTCTGAAAATGCTTTTTCATTTTAAATATGGTAACGATTTGTTTCCATAAATAAGAGCAGTCAGAACATCAGGAAATTGTTTTATTTTGTAGCAGAAATCCAGATTGCTTGAAACTTTTGCTTTGCTCTGAGAACCCATCAAAGAAAAGACTGATTAATGGCTAATCTCTGATTAACGTGGCTACAAAAAGAAATAAAAAAACTCATGTACAAAGGGAGGTCCTATAAATCACATCAAATAAAACAGAATTTATCATGTTTTAATTTCTGATCACTACTTTTTCAAATTTTTGCTTATCCTTTAAGTTTAAATATTACTAGTTACAAAATAAACAGGATTTTAATCTAAATTGTACTCCACCTCTTCCATTGTTTTTTTTTTTCTTTCTGCGTAATTTCCCTCCAAAAGCATTATCTTTGTGTATGAAGATTGTGAGCATATTTATTGTGGCTATACTCCATCAGCTACAGATAGAATAGATCTTTATACAGCATTGTCCAAGTGACAGAAGGTCAGAGATCAGATTATATGCAGATTACCTTGCAGAGTCTCTCCTCGGCTCCTCCTTGTTCCTCTTTTGCAGCTGCTCGGCTCTCTGCTCCTCTTCCAGCTTCAGACGCTCCAGAATCTGCAGCTCTCTCTCCTCAAGTCTCTGTCTGGCTTCTGCAAGCATCCGAGCTCTTTCTAGTTTCATCTCCTCCTCCTGACGAACCTTTTCTTTCTCTGCTTTGATCCTAAAAGGTCAAAACAACTAAAATCAAACCTGTTTGTTTTTTTCACCTCCTGAGAAGTATTATCAACCATATTGCTGGTGGTCAAAGATCACCTTGCCGTCCTCTTCAGGTGTTTCCTGAGTTGCTTGTTCTCCTTCACCTGCTCCCGTTCTGTGCTCATGGCCTGACGCCGGTGTATCAAAAACTGAGCCTGACGCTGCAGAGAAAGCCGCACTTTTATCTGGTATATCTATATATTTTATATTTGGTATATTGTTCAATCAGACCTTCCTTTACCTGCTTTTTTACTTTTTCTTGATTCATCATTGGCCAGAGAACCCTTGGGACACTTAGGCTTCGAGCAGAACTGTGATCTGAGTGCAAATCATCAAGATCCAAAAAAGCATGTTTGCCCACCTGAAATATAAAGATGGCAGAGTATGAGAAGAGACAGAGGCTCCATGACTTTAACACATTCAGCAATTTTATAATCACAAACTTTAATTCATTTTACAAAGATTTAATGTTACAGTACAACATGAAGGAGCAGAATTAGGAACTGGAAAGAAAAAGTATACATTTTACAACAATTTATACAAACTAAAATCTGAAAAGTGTGACGTGCATTTTTAATCATGGACCTTTCCATTAACAAGGCAAATAATCCAGATATCCTGAATGAAGTATAATCCAGATTGATTTGCAGGATCCTGACTTCATAAATTGGAGATTCTTTGTCCTCTTTCAAGTATAAATTAGATCAGAATCAGCTTTAGGGACAAAGTTATAGAAACTATAGGGATTTTTATTGTAATTCCACTTTATTCAAATATGACAACTGCAAAAACCTGAGAGGGAGGAAAGGAACACAAATAGACAGACAACCAGATTGATGTGTGGATGGATAAAAGTAAACAGATTAATAGATGGATATATCAGAAAGACCAGACAGAATGGATGTCAAACAAGATGAACTTCATGCTTGCTGATAATTAATAGGAAAGAGGAAATTGTGGAAACTGACGTATTTTCCAAACTATAGAGCGCACCTCACCTAACAATAATAAAATGTTTTGAAAAAACTCAAAACGTACATTTAAATATAAGCCGCAATGGGCTATAAACCGCTGATATCTACTGAACTGTCTCCCACCAGACCTGTAGGGGGAGCTCTACAGAGCTTCTACTCAAAGATGGGGCTTCTTAAAGGAATAGTACACCCAAAACATGATTAGCCTTCATTTTCTACTCACCCCCATGCTGAACAACACTCTGGAGTACTTTTTTGATATCTCAAATGCATCTGGAGATCTGGGAGGCTTCTTGCTGTCTGCTGACATTCAAATAATGGAGGTGCCCAGCGCCCGAGACAGAAAGGTCCATAAAAGTCCACAAAAAACGTTTCAATATTCCTCCATACTGCTCGTCCAATGTATTCCAAGTGTCCTGAGTGGGTAGCATCCAGAATTTACTCGAAACGAAGTCATTTAGAATGTTTTTAGAGCATAAACAGTAGTGTATAGGATTTCCTAATAGCGCCCCCATGCGCGCTCACGATTCTACGGAAGCCGGCAGACCAAACCAGCGCATTCAGCTCGGCAAAGAACTCATGCTCTTCCTCAACACTGAAGTCCTCAGACATTTTTCTTTCGTTGTTTCTTTCTTTGCACAGGTAAACGGCACATTTCTTCTTCTACGCTTGCATTATTGGAAGAGCAGACGCTGAATGCGCACTTTCATCTGGTTTGGTCTGCCGGCTTCCGTAGTGTCGTGATCGCGCATGTGCGTGCTTTCAGGAAATCCTATACACTACTGTTTATGCTCTAAAAACATTCTAAATGACTTCGTTTCGAGTAAATTCTGGATGCTACCCACTCAGGACACTTGGAATACATTGGACGAGCAGTATGGAGGAATATTGAAACGTTTTTTGTGGACTTTTATGGACCTTTCTGTCTCGGGCGCTGGGCACCTCCATTATTTGAATGTCAGCAGACAGCAAGAAGCCTCCCAGATCTCCAGATGCATTTGAGATATCAAAAAAGTACTCCAGGGTGTTGTTCAGCATGGGGGTGAGTAGAAAATGAAGGCTAATCATGTTTTGGGTGTACTATTCCTTTAAGCTCTTTATTTCAGCTCTGCATCAGTTGAGCCCTGCCCATGTGTGAATTTTGGACATTTTTTCTCCGTCGTGCCTGGTGCTAGCATGTTCTTGTGCTTAATGAAAATTAGCCCCTTATTCTTTCATTTCCAACTTTGACATCCCTCTCTGTCATTTCTTATAAGCAGCACGGTTCAATGCGTGGGAAACAAGTAGTGGGTTATAGTCTGGAAAATACAGTATTTGTGTTTCTTCTTCAAAAGAAAAATCACAAAAAGAACCCTCATAAATTCATCGGGTAATCAATGATATAAATGCTTTTTATCCATCATCACAAATAAACACTTGGATCAAATTATTTTACATTGTTTTTGCGACGATGCAAGAACCCTGCTGTAGATAAAGCAAAGTAGAACCAACAACATGTAGTCCATCATCCCAGGTAGGAGCGAAAATTTCATTCCAACTTCCTGGAGGTCTTTTTGCCTGATCAATGGTTGAAGAAGTGAAACATAACTCTTGTAAGCTAAAATATAAGAGGAACTCACAGTTTCACAGCTGAAATAGTACTCTGTCAAAGGTTAGCAGTAGAAACACCACTGTGCTCACAAACGCTGAGCTCTTTAGAATTCTTCCACAGCTTGAAACGATCAGTTTTAAAACTGGATTTCAAGGCTCTATAGATGAAGATCAACAAGTAAGATGTTTCCATGGATTACATCATCACTTTAAAATAAGCTTCTTCTGGACATCATAAGAAATATGGGAAAGCTTATAAATATCTAAATCTCAATTATAAAGCAACAGTTATTCACGATTAAGGAAATTAGCTTGTTCCTCTATTTGCACAGAAAAATCCAGGTGAAGAAATGTAACCACATTCAGATGTTTCATTCGTGTTTGGAAAGGAAAAAAGGAAGGCGCTCTTCTCAGATGAGACCAAAAACAGCTTTCTGCTAGTCAGGCAAAATCTGTGTGTAAATAAAAACTGCACATGACCCTGAACACAACAGTGGGGGAAAACTCGTGCTCGTCTTCAGCAGAGAGCGAGATTGTGAAGATGACTTAAGCAAAACAGCTAAAATCCCTGTTTATAGGCAAAATGCATGCCACACTTTTAACATTATTTTTTTTCTTACTAGCAATTTACAAAAAAGTATAGTAGTTTAAGATATTGTGCTTAAAATGAAAAAAAAAAAGTATTAAAAACAAAATAGAAACTTTAAATGAATGATTTCACTGTTGCATGCTGGCAATTCAGTCACCTTCTGTTGAACAAGGGGGCATTCATGTTGACTGCCAAAGAAAGGAGGATCTCTGGCTTCCTCTCCTTCATCCTCCAGAACATCTCGCTCCGTTCTCTGCCCCTGAGCACCAGATCTCTGCTAAGTGGAGAGTTTTCAGTTATTCCTTGAACTTCCAGAAAAAACTAAAACAAATGTGACCATGAGAAGTTTGTTAAAAAAGCAGAACAATGTGTCAGACACAGACATTCGCATGTCTGGTTGGAGAGATGTTCCATCTGCCCCCTGGAAGATCTGACGCCGTTTCCTCTTGCTGGATCAGGCGACAGGCGGCCAGTCTGAGTCTGACCTGCCTCATAGGGTCCCTAGACTGGAAAATGGAAAGAAAAAAATAATATTCCACATTAATCATAGTCACATTATCTGATAAGACTAAAAATAACAACGTGATGCCTCTGATCAAAAAAAAAAAAAAAAACTTTAAGGACGGAAGCATCTTTTATGGATTTTTTTAAAACATTAAGTGACCTGAAAACTGTTTACCAGCTGAAATTAACTCCTTACTGCTCTCTAGAGGTTAAACCATCACTTTACATGTCAGACCAATAAATGACTCATAATGTTTCATATTGACCAACTTAATCTCTTATGGTCAATTTTCTCAAATTGTACACATCCTAAATTGCTAATCTTGCTATAAACTGACATAAAGGTCCTGGAGGATGAAGTGGATGTGAAAATGTGAAAGTACATTTTTCTGTTATATTTAAATAGCCAAAAATTTACTTCTGCCTTAAAAAAAAACACAATAAAAATAGATGTTTACATAGAAAACTTCATATTTTTCCTGTAATGAAGAAAATAAACATACTAAGCTGCAAATATAACATCTTGGTTTCATATGTAGCAATTTTGGTCTCCATCCAACAAGCACTGAGAAGTTATAGACGTTTGGATTGAAAAATTTAATGCAAACTCCTGCTGTGCTGCCATTTTGGAAAAGTTTGGCATATTTTCTGAGATTTGGAATTTATTCTTGAAATGTAACATTTGGAAAAATGTTATATATTTGGTTATGGGTTGGATATATTCCTTAAACTGACTTTTTTTTTGATAAAATCACCTTTTGATGAAAAAACAAAACAAATTTGGTGTGCTTTGCTGGTGTTTTTGGAGGATTTTGTTAAAGGAGAAGTTCACTTTTTAACACTTTAAGCCCATTTTCTGTAGTGTCCAGGATGAAATCGAATGATCGACACCAAAATTTTGACAATTGGTCCTGTCTCTGCTTTTCGGCTCATTTAGAATCCCCCCTGGCTGCTTTAGAACGGCTTCCATAGAGCATGTCCCATAATGTCCTGAAAACAACCTTAAACGTTCTTTTTTTAAATATGCTACTCACCGTGTCGTCAGCGCTGTTCAATGACGTTCCAAAAAAAGTTTCGTAAAGAAAAAACGTTCCTGTAGTGTTTTATTTAGCATTTTGTAAATCCCATTGAGTTCTGTTGGAATAGTCAATATTCCCCTGCCACCGGAAACGGAAATGGGGCCTGTTTACACAGTTGTAGTCTTTTCGCTTCACTCTGTGTACTCCGACGTCGAGAATCAAGAATCCACCTTTCGTATTCAATTTTCAGAGTTTTTTAAAGTGTTTAACAGAGACGTTAGCACCTCGACGTCGGAGTACACAGAGTGAAGCGAAAAGACTACAACTGTGTAAACAGGCCCCATTTCCGTTTCCGGTGGCAGCGGAATATTGACTATTCCTACAGAACTCAATGGGATTTACAAAATGCTAAATAAAACACTACAGGAACGTTTTTTCTTTACGAAACTTTTTTTGGAACGTCATTGAACAGCGCTGACGACCCGGTGAGTAGCATATTTTAAAAAAAGAACGTTTAAGGTTGTTTTAAGGACATTATCGGACATGCACTATGGAAGCCGTTCTGAAGCAGCCAGGGGGGGATTCTAAATGAGCCAAAAAGCAGAGACAGGACCAATTGTCAAAATTTTGGTGTCGATCATTCGATTTCATCCTGGACACTACAGAAAATGGGCTTAAAGTGTTAAAAAGTGAACTTCTCCTTTAAGTGGTCGGCTGCAAATAAGAGTTTCGCTAATGAGTTTGAATTCAGTGTCTTGTTGGACTTAAATAGCAATCCATCATTTGATGCAGCTACTGTGTTCTTGAAATGAGGCTCAGTGAAACACAAATTTGGTCATAAATTGCATTTTGGCTTTGTGAGTGCTTTTTGGCATGGATGGGGGCGGGGCTGTGGTTGGTGAATATTAGAATGAAGTAGATAGTCTTGTAGAGGAGTCTCAGATGAAGATCTGGACATATGATAAGTGTGTGTTAGTCTCAGGTTTAGTCAGCTACAAGCTTATTACTGTTGCAAAAGAGCACCAGCTCCCTTGACAAGGGGGTACTTAATGTTGAGATTTACTGGAAATGCTTCTTGGAATCTAGCACTTTTTGTTTTAAGAAACTGGGAACAAATATCTATATATCAGTGATTTTAGTGGAGGTTTTTTTAAGCTCTGAAGTTAAACAAGAAAATAATAAAGACTAAACAACATCCTCAAGGTCTTTGCTCCAAAACTGTCTCTTCTTCTCACCCGTGGGGAGGTGCTGTGCTGTGCAGCACTTCCTGAGGGGATGTTCTCCTCACTGTCAAACTCTTGGTGGGTCACCACCTGATAATATGGGAATCTTCTATGAGATATGACCTAGACAAAAAAAGAGAGATCTACAATGAAAAGATCAGCACAGTTATATTACCTGGGTCCAAATGTACTCCCGAATAAGGTCCGGATAGCGAGGTAACAATTTAACCATTAGTCTGAACCGTCTGGGTGTAAATATGATAAATATTAGGACTGGTTGAATTTTCTAAAGCCTATGTTTCAGTCATGTTACCCAATACGCCTCTGAAGGTCATGTTTCCTGTTTCATTTACCTGAAATAGATGATTATTATTCGACTATTTTAGATTTTATATCACAAAGGTGAATATAGTATATCATCCAAGTCAAATTTGATTATTTTTGATGACTTTGCAGAAGTTGAATCAGCGGTTTATCTGCTTTGTTTTGCAGGATCTTAGTCAGTGGAAACATGTTACCGAGGGATGCGCGTGATTCTGCTGTCGTCTCTTGCTGCGGTGAGCCTGATGTGCCACTCGCCGCCGTACTTCATCTTGAAACCGCCTCAGGCTGTCTTCGTTCTCCCTTCTAATCTGTGCTTGTAGCTCTTCAGTTAGTACAGCGAGCGCCTTAAACAAAACACACAGTTTTAAAGAAAGACAAAACAATGAAAGTTTATCAACCTCTGAAATCTCCTTTTACACAAAATCTTTATTTTTTATTTTTTAAAGTTAGTCCATTATAAAAATGATGACTTAACTGCATACAGACCTTGATTAATACAGAATAAGCAGAATAACCATTAAAAGTCATTTTCTATATAACTTTATTAGCCTCTCACATCAATCTAGAATCATTTTATTTTATCTCAGCACCAATGGTTCATCATTAAAGTTTGTAGATACGTCTCAGCAGACCCCACAAATCCATTAACTCATTTAAACCAGGCCTAGGAATTAGAACGGGTTAATATCCCTTCCTCTTTTTCCCTCTCACTCCTGTTTTAGATCTGCAACCATGTTTCAGACGTCTTTCCTCCTGATAACCCTGCTTAGCCCAAGCTCCAGATGTTGGTACAAAGAAAAGTTCCTGCTCATCTCCATGACTACAAATTTTTTTGGGGAACAACTTGTAGTCATGGAGATATGCAGGAACTTTTCTTTTTACAGACATCCAAAAGGATCAAGTTTCCACTGCTTTGCTGGACAGTTTTAGGAGGTGTTTGTAACGCTCTGCTTTCTTTAATCTAGCATGTTGTTGTGCACCTTGGTCTCTTGTTCTGTCTCTTTTGTCAAAACAACTTTGTTGCAGAGGTAATTATATATTTCAGTTGCAACTTTGCACACTTCCATCATTCTATCAGATCTCTTCCTTACTTGTTTTATCTTTCTTACTAATTATTTATTAGTTTTGAACTGTAACATCCTAAAGACCAACATACAGGTAAAGAACATAGAAACTGATTTTTTTACAGGGAGGAGGCCTCCTAATCGGGCTGCTGAGTATCACGCGTGCAAAGGTTCTGCTGAAATGAACCTCAAGTTTCAAGATCTCCCAAACCAGAGTAATAATAAAAGAATGGCATCATTTTATTCTTGCATGCCTATGAAAGAAAACATGTCTTTGTTTCTGCAGAAAATACAGGCCTTAAGATTCACTTGTGATGATGCAGTTTTGAGGTTTCAATGGGAGTGTTGGCCTAGTGGTTAGAGCAGTGCACTTGTGCTCCAAGAAGGTTGCAGGTACCCGGTTAGATCCCCAAAGAGTGCCACTGTGGCTCCCTGAGCAATAACCTTAAGCCCACACTACTCCCTGGGCGCCGCACAATGGCAACCTACTGCTTGCCAAGGGGATGGGTTAAATGCATAGGTGAATTTCTCCAATGTGAGATCAATAAAGCTCAATTATAATTATAAAATTATAAGTAATTTCTTCAGGCTTGTGGTCAAAGAGAAGCAGGTGGTTAGTGGTTAGAGTCCTGAGAAGGCTGCAAGGTAGTTAACTACAATCCCATCAATGGGTTCCTGAGAGAATCATGGCAGGTAATGACTACTGTTAGTAATAATGATAGCAGTTGCTTATTTCAAAAGCTTTCTGATCTAATTCCGTTCTGGTATTGTAGTGACACATAACCAACCAAACTGGCAGAGGGTTAAAACTGTTGATGGTCAGTTAGCCAAACACATTTGTTTAGTAGCGTCTGGAAACTTCTTGTTCTCTTGAATCCAATGCATTCGAGGAATTTTTTAAACTATAGTGTTAGACAAACTTTATTGTAATTTTATATACACAAGAGTATATACAAAACGACGTGCATTTATACAGCTTTCCGAAAGTGAATGAGGAGCAGCTTAGCAGTGAAAAAGAATATTTCTATTTATAAAGCGCAGCAGTGATCAAAATGTAAACAGTATAGGGAGAGTAATGGTGCAAAAGGACATTGGTGTGGAAGGGTCAGAGCAGTGCAAAAATAAATAAATAGATATGGTGCAAAATGCAACAGAAACATATGGTTGAGTTCTATTTTGAAGATTCACCATATAGTGCACGATGTTATTAGTGTGATGCAGAGTCTCAATTTGTGACTCACAGACTGCCAACGTTTCACCAAACCTTTGGGTGAGATATTGAAATAGTTTGGACAGGAAACCTTCTCAGGGTTAGATAAGGATAGGTGCAGCTATAGGTTGGAGATTTTCAGAGGATTTAACTGAGAGAAAGAGGCAAAAAAGTGGAATTTATATCGCAGAGTAAATTATACTGAGTAACAATATGTGGTCTTTAGTTATGTGGAACATTTTTCTCACAATATATATTATTTTCTACGTTCTGGTGATTTTTGGAGAAGTAAAGCAGAATGGGCCCTACTAAAATACTTGCATCTTAAATATACTTTTAAATAAGAATTTCACAACTTTTTTCATTAATTATTCTCTGCAGTCCAAGTAAATTAAACAATGGGGAATGACAACAGATTACTGGCACTGATACAGAAACCAGCACAATCGAAACCTATGCAAACTACACTGTGTTGAATATTTGGTAATAGGCTAAGGATTAAAAAGCTTCATTCATTATGTTATTAGTTTTTCTTATATACATATTCAATGGACCAAAATAAAGATAAATGACTATGATAAGTAATAACAGAAGATCATCCCTGTGGTCTTTCCTCTATCTGGTTCACTGAGCTGTTCTGCACATCCTCTCTGCATGTGGTTGGTCTTTTCTTTGGTGGCTGATTTTTGGAAAATAAAATTCAATGGTTCTTTTTCTTTTTGTGGAGCTCCTATGGGTTTGAGAGGCAAACCTGGAAGCTTTAAGAATTAAAATATATATATTGGTCTAACTACTCCTTAATTCTAACGTGAGATTATTAAACTAGACTGAGTTGAGTTTTAATGTCTGTAATTTTTTTAGTGCGAGAAATTGGGAATATGGAGTGAGAGTGTTTGAAGACACTGAGATGGGTGAGTCTCACTCCCAATGGGTTCACAGCCCTGGACTCGGTTTAGAGTTTTTCACAGTTCAACACTCTTAATATAAGTTTATATAAATTATCTAAAGTATTTAAAGAGAAAGGTGGCAGGCAGAATTATGCCTCATTGTTTAAGAACAACCCAGGAAAAAATAAACAAGGGATATCTTCAGCAGGATGGTGAGCTAAACATTTGGGTTAAATTAATAATTTCTTCTTTTTTATATAAAATAAAAAAAATTATTTCTTAATGTTGTGGTTACAAACTTGATGGAGTCAGTTACAAGAAGAGACCAGACGCAACGCCTTGGTAACGTTTCCGCCTAAAAGCCAAACTTACAGCCGGGTGCTCTCGGAAATCCTGTCCGTCCTCCACCCAGGCTCCAACCGCCACCACTGCCTGGTTCCTCTCAGCCAGCACCTTACTGGCCTTTAAGGGAACCTGCAGGCTGCTCCTGGTCCCTGGGAATTTCTTCCTGCAGGTTTTCGGAGTTCTAACACGGTTAGCACTCATCGGTAACAGAAAACGCTGCTGCTAAAGTTAAATGCTAAGGCAATGTCATAAAGAAACTGCTACGTTAGCTAAATCGACACACATGAATTAAATACACTTTGTAAACAAGGAAAATAAACTGAAAAGCATCTGCTGTACAGACAAATGGAACAAAACCGAGCAGTAGCAACAGGTTTGTTTGAATATCGCTCCATTGGTGTGTTTGAAGTTTGTCAAGCGTCTCACTGCTGCCCCCACCTGGACCGGAGGGGACGCTGAACATCTGTAATGCGATTTATCTGACAGCCTGTTAAAATAATGGAGAAAAAAGACGTATAAAAATATATAAAGTAAAATAGCTAGTCTTCTAATTAAATTGTGACAACAGTTTTAAAATCTAAGCAAAACATTTCCAACCAAAGCATTTTCTGTTTAACCTGAGGCATTCTGAACTGTTATTGATTCATGTACAGATGAGTGAATCTTTGAGCAACAATTTCAACAGGCTCAGGAACTTAAAAAGAGTTATGAACAATTATAGTGATAATTAGAGGTCTGAGTGTCCAGAATAAAGGTTTGCAAATATGTGAAGATTCTGTCATGCAGGTCATAATCAAGCTTGAAAAGGTCAGTTTAAGCAACTGGAGGTTAAGTTTTCTAGATGTTTCGCCTCTCATTCAAGAGGCTTTGGGGTTTTCAAAGATAAAACTGAATCAGAGCTTCAATCTCACATGTAGCAGCCATGTTTGACTATTTACTTTAATAAATGTTAATCTTGTATTTAAACCTTTATTTTCAACTAGACAATATAAAAAAAGGATTGGCACTTTAATAGTTTTGTCTTTCTCGCCATTTTTTAGATCTTTACCTTTAATAACATTTTTCATTAGCTCTGTAGACTTTTATTTAACGTCATGAACATAAGCTGCAATTACAACACAATAAAGATGTTTCTTATGTCTATTTTTACTATTACATGACCCTCTTACTATTTATACCAATTTATTATAATTGATGTCTTCTGATTGAGCAAATTAATATCTTAAACTGTGTTCTTCACTTTGCTTTCTATGGGTTTTTATCCCATGTCTGTAATTATGATGGAAATGTGTGTTTTGGATTTTTTTGTTTTTGTTTTATTACTTTTTTTTTTTTTGTTGCAGATGAGATTTTTTTATTTTTATTGAAACAAACCTAAACCACTCAGCCAGCAGGTGGTGCTACATATAAGGAAAAGTGAAAAAAAATAAAATAAAATAAAGCATCTGGTTGGATTGTTCAGGAAAATAATTGTTGCCTTGTTTCAGCCCATCCATGATGAGAAAAAAAAAAACAATACATGTACATAGCCTGGAAAGAAAGGACACATTTATTACTCTCACAATCTTCACTTCTACTGCTTCTCTAACCTTAACAACTGAAAAAAACAAATTAATGTTGGAATTTTTCCTATGAAAACCAAGATGCTGACATATTTTTACATGTTTTTATTAATAAATCAAATAATTAAAAATGTAAATAATAAAAACCGAATTCAAAGTTGGTCAAAATATGATTGAGCAAATAAAACTATTAACAGAAAGATCCTGTTGAAGAAATATCTTTATTTAAAAAAAAAGCAACAGTATTTTATCACATGAATGAACTGAGTTACAGAGTGGATTGTCTCAGATATAAAGATTACTTTGAATTTCAGTGCTTCTGATTAACTTGCGCAGGACGTCTGTGCTTGGAGATGAGTCCACCTGGGAAGGGAAATAAAATTCAGAACATTTAAGAAAGCAACAGAAAATCTATATATCCAAGTGAAATGTCAACCACTCTAAATCTTTTGTAATAAGTTGTAAACAAATTCTCTAAGGACTTGAACTAAACTATGGAAGATCTAATAAAATATTCACATTTATAATGAGCTGGTCTTTCTAAATTAGAGTTTATACACATTCTACCTCAAAAATGTTTTAAAAGCAATATATTTTACAGCCTAAAAATGAATAAGACTGTTGACTGGACAGTATACACCAGCAGGGTAAAGTATAAAAAGTAATTGCTACAGAAGCTGCATGTTTCAGATAGCTGGCCTTCTTAATGGAAAATTCAGTGGAAGGAAAAAAGCTAAAACAGAAAGGTGCTCAAGCAACAAGAACAAGAACTGCAGTGTTTTTTAATTAGATGCAGGTGGAAAATGGACACAATTAACAGAAAATATCAGAAATGTTTCACTTTGTGCATCAACTGAATTAAAATAAACTTTTGAAAATGTTTGAATTTATTATAATTATTGTGATCTCCGTTTTATTAGCTTTCATTAGACCTAGCAGTATTCCACTTTTTCCTACTTTGACTCAACATGTTGTTAAACATGCATAAATAATATACACTTGGACAAGAAGCAGTTAATTTTTTTCAGATTAATCTGCCAGCTTACAGGTGTAGTTGCATCGCCTTGCAGAATTATGTTATGACACTTGGCTATTACTTTTCCTTTCCTCTCCGTTTCAACTGTGCTTCCATCACTCTGTTACGTTTGCCAATTTGGCCAATAGTGTGTGAGCATCTGCTGCACTCGTTAAATATTGCATTAGCATGCAAAATGCTAGTCCACAACAAAGCTTCTTCTCTCCAAACATCCTTTGCAATGTGAATATTTGAAAACATTGATATTGTGATGACGTGCCATAGGGTTAGAATCTTAGCCTGCATGCATTGGTTCCACTCCAGGCTCCTCCTACTGTCAAATACATGACTGTTAGATTTGTGTGTGTAATTATTAGTCCCCTGTGTCTCAACGTTTCCTTGTGACGGATTGGTGACTGCTCCAGGTTGTACCGTGCCTCTTTCCTAATGAATGCTGGAGATGGGCACCAGCCACCTTATAAGGCAGCTATAGATAATGGATGGATATTTGGCAGCATGTCTTAAATTTAATGCTTTCAGTTGGTTTTCTCTTGGAGGGAATTGTGAAACAAAATCCTATATGAAAAAAAAGCTGAGAGGATTTAAACTTGGAAAACAGAGACGCTGGATTTTGTAAGAAGAAAAAAAAAGAAAAGGAAAATGCTTATGGCACAAGCAGCTCCTCTAATTATAAAACCTAATCCCATCAGCTGTCAGAAGTTTGCAGTTACAGCCAGGGCTGGAGCTCAGCCAGATCACTGGGCTGCTGGACATTTCTGTACATCCTCCATTTTTGACCCTCGCCCCCCCCCCGCCCAGAATAAAAAAATAAAAAAAACTTGGACGACAAGAGAACAGCAGCTCACCTGTATGGACCTGCCAAGCTTGGTTAGCACCGGCTTGAAGCTCTCCACCGTGACGGAGTCAGGACCAGTGACATCACTGTAACACTGGTAAACAACAGCAGCAATGCGATGGACCTGGCAATGGTTCAGGACTGGTGGAACATAACAGAGGAAGAATCAAAACAAGGCTATAAGTGATGGCTGATAGATAACAATGATGAGGCGCAATCCCATCAGCGATCTAGACCTGGTTCCTTACCCTGACGAAACGTCTCTTTGTTTGGATTAAATGTCTTTAAGTGTACTAGTGACATAATGCCCACATCAGGATGCAGGACTGTGCATGCTCAGTGAGTGGAGAGGAGCCTAATGGCACCACATTTCATTCAGTTGGCAGAACCATTTGTCCAAAGTGAATGTTTTTTTTTCTCCACATACACACCCCAAGAGCTGTGTGGAGCTTATTGTCTGGCTCAAGGACGCCTCAGCAGACAGAAATAAGAATCAGACCTGTTAGAAATTCTGTTAACAGTCAAAACTAAAGCTGACAAATCAAACATGGCTGATGTTACCTTGTAAATGCTGAGTGTATTCATAACTTTAATGCTGGTCCTTGATAGAAAGAAAGAACGAAAGACAGAACGAAAGAAAGGACCAACCAAAGAAAAGTGGAACCAGAGAGAGAGGAAATGGAAGAACCAAAGAACCAAAGAAAGTTGGAAGCAAAGAACCAAAGAAAGATGGAATTAAAGAGAGAGGAAATGGAAGAACCAAAGAAAGGTGGAACGAAAGAACCAAAGAAAGATGGAACGAGAGAATGATTGAACAAATGAACCAAAGGAAGAGGTACCTAAGAACCAAAGAAAGACGGAACCAAAGAAAGATAAAACAAAAGAACATAAGGAAGGAACGAACAAAAGAAAGGAAAGTAACTTTACATCTGACTTCTGGTAGACAGACTTCTGCTGTTTTAGAGCATCTATTAGAGACAGAATGAAATAAAGGACCAGTCAAAGAACCAAAGAAAGAACCAAAGACAGATAAAACAAAAGAACCAAAGAAAGATGGAACCAAAGAGAGATGAAATCGAAGAACCAAAGAAAGATGGAACGAAAAAAAGATTGAACGAAAAGAAGATGGAACCAAAGAACCAAAGGAAGATGGAACCTAAGAGAGCCAAAATCGAAGAACCAAAGAAAGATGGAAGGAGAGAATGATTGAACAAATGAACCAAAGGAAGAGGTACCTAAGAACCAAAGAAAGACGGAACCAAAGAAAGATAAAACAAAAGAACATAAGGAAGGAACGAACAAAAGAAAGGAAAGTAACTTTACATCTGACTTCTGGTAGACAGACTTCTGCTGTTTTAGAGCATCTATTAGAGACAGAATGAAATAAAGGACCAGTCAAAGAACCAAAGAAAGAACCAAAGACAGATAAAACAAAAGAACCAAAGAAAGATGGAACCAAAGAGAGATGAAATCGAAGAACCAAAGAAAGATGGAACGAAAAAAAGATTGAACGAAAAGAAGATGGAACCAAAGAACCAAAGGAAGATGGAACCTAAGAGAGCCAAAATCGAAGAACCAAAGAAAGATGGAAGGAGAGAAAGATTGAACAAATGAACCAAAGGAAGAGGGAACCAAAGTAAGATAAAACGAAAGAATGAAAAGAAGGAACGAACAAAAGAAAGAAAAGTAACTTTACATCTGACTTCTGGTAGACAGACTTCTGCTGTTTTAGAGCGTCTATTAGAGACGGACGGCATGCTGTGGAAACAATCATCTGGTCCTGATTGTAAACCAAAACAAAGATGACCTATATAAATCCACAGTGCTAACATTCATTTAACAGCCACTTTTAATACGTCTGGCTGCTTGGTAGTAAAAAAAAAAAAAAAAAAAAGTCTCTTCGGACTGAGGCTGGCCACTAATACACCATAAGTGCTTCCATGATGGGAGACAGCAGGAAAGATGTGTGCTCTCTTGCTCTCTCTCTCTGCAGCTAAGTGGAAAGGCTACAGGAAAAAAAAAAACTTCAATCCTGTGGGTCAGGTTTGCGATCATTTCCCGCTGATAACCACATGTTACTAAGCATCTATTGATTTTTATTCCTTTTTAGGAAAACACTCATTTCAAGTGCGTTCAAGAAAAAAAAAAACATCCCAGCACTACTCTATCCACAATTAATCCTTAAAAGAATCAGGACATCCTTGTCCTTGACACACAAACTAAACTGAACTCAAGGCATAGGAGGATAGGAGATTGAGGCCAAGAAGCTGCCATACCCTACTTTAATGGTACAGTGGATGTAAGAAAAACAAGTAATGTGAAAGTCAGTCTGTCAGAGTTATGAAATCTAGAGAGATAGAACAGATTTACAACTGAATTAAAGCTGAGAATCAACTGAACAGCTGCTCACACAGATGACTGTTAATCCTGCTGGATGCAAAGATAACGGCTAGCAACTCAATGCATGATTTAGGTTGTTTTCTGCCTCATGTGAGAGCTGAATAAGTAACAGCCAAGGTATAGAAACAAAAAACCCAGAGGGATGCGCTGCATGCTGATCAATGTGATGACATTAAAAAAATTAATTTCCGCATTTTAATAAGGAGTTTTTTTTTTTTACTGCAAATAGAGATTAAGGCACTAAAATAATGTGCTCTTGGTTCTGGTTATTAACTTTACTAATTAGATATGTTTAAAAGCTGCCTAATGAAACGCAGAGAAGGTGGAAACTGGATCATAGCCACATTTATTGATAATGTGATCAATTTTGTAATAAATTATCAGGAGTTATAATAAGTCACAACACACAGCCATGGGGTCTACTCTATAGAAATTTGAATAGCTACTTTAATCAAAAGTTCATAATTAGGTGCTCTTAAGGCTTTTGTTACTTTATGCATCGTCTTTACTTCTTTTTGTAAAGTCAGATGTGATCCTAATGGAAAAATTAAATGAAGAACTAAACACAATTCCTGCTTCTGGCTGGTGGAGTTTCATTATGTCTGCAGCAGCGATCAGCTAAACTCTTTTGGACCAGACAACATGTTTGCTCTAACAAATGATGGTTTACCCAAACCCTCTAATAGGGATGTCCTGATCAAATACTGATATCTGTCTAATATCAGCTAAAAAACTAATATTGAATAACATAAACCGCCAGCCAAAGCCTCAGCTATTGGCCTACTGATGGAAATACTCTGATTCTGTTTAAGTTTATGTAATTTATTGGTTAATAATACAGAGGTCAGTTCTTCCAGTACTATGGCTTTTGTCTGTTTTCTTCTTTTAATGTCACTGATTACGCCTTTTCCACCATCTAAGGCTAAAAGAAAGAAAAAGAAAAATCCTGAATGGCACCTTCTCGTTAAGTAAGAGGGAAACATAAGACTTATGCAACCATATAGTAATGATAGGAAATTTGGTGTTTAATAATTCATACACTCTAAATCTAAGTGCTTATACCAGCATATACAATGAACTGATACCAACATTAATGTGGTGATGGATTGGCATAGCATTGAAAAAAAATATATACTTTTCCTATTTTCATACTCCTTGCAGTGTTCTCATGGTCAGCAACTGGAATTTTACTTATGTTTTTTTTAAATATGTGAGAAATACCAAAGGGGATGGTGTAATTATGTGAAACGGTAAGAAAACAATGCATGGCATGTTACATTAATAAAATGAAATTATTTGAAAAGTGTGGTTTGCACAAGACAGCAGAGAGAAGCATCAGAGGCACACGGTGACTTTGGAGGAGCTGCAAAAATCCAGAAGTGAAGGTAATAAGAATCCTGCTTCGATTCACTTAAAAAATATATATATTTTTAATCCCAAACTTAAATTAAATGTTGCAGTAACTCATGGGGAGTTTGTGAGTGTGTTGCTGTAGGTGTAGATAGTTATAGTTGATGGCTGACTTCAAGCTTCTCAAGCAGAGAAGGAAGCAAGTCAGGTGTACCAGTCAAATGAGACCTAGGCTTTGACTACACTGTGAATTATGTTAAAATATAGTGGTGGCAGCATCATGCTGAGGGGAAACTTTTTTTTAAACTGAGGTGGAGGTTTTGCTTTAGATCAGAGGTGTCAAACTGGTTCCAGAAAGGGCCGTGTGGCTGCAGGGTTTCTTTCCAACCAAGCAATAGCACACCAGACTCCATTCATCTCATCAAGTGAGTCCAATCTAAGCATGATGACTTGATGAGATGAATGGAGTCTGGTGTGCTATTGCTTGGTTGGAAAGAAACCCTGCAGCCACACGGCCCTTTCTGGTACCAGTTTGAAACCCCTGCTTTAGATAGAATAACAGCTCTGAGGTACAGTGGATTGGTTTGGATCAAAGCATGTTTGTGTTAAAAATAAAGGCCAGCATTTTACTTTAAAATCTATGTTCAGAGATATTTTTCTGATCGCCAGCAAGGAAAGAAAAAGCTTCATTATGGAACACCTGCTCTACTAATACGTCCTGTGCTTCTCCATTTGTGTAAATAAATATAAAAAAAGCTCTCCACGTCATTTACTGCAGCAAACCTGATACCTAATATGCCTAAAAGAAAAAAAAAGAAAACAACCTAGGAATTCAGGTTGAGAACCAAACTGTTTTACATGCAGATTAAAAACTGTGACTTAGATGGATTGCTCTGCTAAATATGCACAACGGTGTGACAGGTGAAGAAAAAGGCCAGCTGTGCGGCTCCTGTTCCGATTCCCGCTTAGATCTTGTGACATGATGAGTTGAACTCGTACCAACAACAAAAAAAACCCAAACACACCTGCAGCTGGAAGTCCTGTAATGATGTTGGGCTGCTCCAGTGACTGGCAGACAGGCTGATGGCTGAACGCGCTGGAGTGAAGAGACCGCAAGAAGGGAGCAGAGCTGCTGCATAGATAGTCTGCTGTCTTATAATCAGCCACAGTACAATCTGACAGCACAGTCACAGTGAGCTCTCTGGACGGCAGGCAGTCGAACACCTGCGACAGACAAAGACAAAGCAATACTCTGTTGGAGTTCTGATTTTGAACCCACTCATATAATATGTGCAAAAAGTTAAAGAAAGAGCTACGTTTGTGCTTCTTTCCATGTCAGCTTCTAGCGACACCTGCGTCTGGCAGCTGAAGCTGACATTTCTGAGGCCAGCCAATATTTTTCCAATTTGCAGCTGTCAAGTTTTGAAAACACTGCTCCTATTATAGCCTCATCTTCGACCGATCTGCTGACAGGAGTGAAATCCGTCATGATTCTCTGCTGCTGCAACTGGAGGCAGTACATTCAGAAGGCAGGCTGTGTTTTCTGCTTCTAAAAACAGCCCACCAATAATCACCCAGTTAAAAATCACTGAATGGATCTCAGTCCTACAGTTTGACTTAAGCAACAAAATGCTGAACCAATAAATCCCCCCACAGTTTTTTCTCTCTATGTTATAAGGATAAAATGTCTCCAGATGCTTATGAGCTATTCGAACTTTAACAACCAAAGCTTCATGAATCGTCCTTAACAACATGTTGAATGAATCACATTCTATTTCAGTCCTCATGTTGCCATGTCATTATGACTTCTGAAGGAAAGAAAGAAAAACGCTTTCCTTATGTAGGTTGCAAGGGCCAACTATAAGTCTTTTCAGGGGGATTAAACTACAGAAAAAAAAGAAAAATACCTTTTCTGTCCACTGAAACAGCTGGTCCTCTGCAATGTGGCAGATCGCTTGGCAGATCAAAACCTAAAAAGACACCAAAGCATTTTCTCATCACTCTCCAATCCCACAGGAAGGACAGAGATAAGACACGATAGTTTGAAAGTAGTGGTGAGAGGAAATGGTGGCATTCATGAGGAAAATTGTGTGTCTGATGAACTAAAACCAAATATTTCAAGTTTAAGGCTTATAAAACAAGGAGATAACCCACATAGTAAAACATCTGAAGAAAAATTTAATTAAATTTACTTATAGATGTGTTTTACTAGCTTACAGCAGACTTGGACCAATCTTATTTTTTCTGCCTGAAGCTGATTATTTTCCTTTCCTTTAGAGTTTAGTCATATGAATCTGGTTTTGGGCAGTCCTAGGATTATTTTCACAAGCCAAATGTAATAATCTAAACAGAGCAAACTCTGTATTTCAACAATCAAAACAGTCATTCATTCAATTAATAGAATAAATGAGAAATTATCGATTATTTTCAGTTTGATCGCTCCATCTCGCAATAGAAAAAAATTAAATATAAAAATAAAAAATCCTATTTTTAGAAAACAAGCACCACCTGCTCATATTACTGAGTGAAAAAGGTGTATGAAGCTATAAAAATGCTGTATAGTTTGACAGAGAGCACAAGAGTTTAAGCAGATAACAGGAAGGCTAAACGGAGTACAGTTAAGTTGTTATCCCTTGGAGCTTTCAACTTTTATCAGTTATGGAACCTTTGAAAATCAAAACAGTGTTTTCTGTCATGCTAGCCAAGCCAATTTCTGATACACAATGTTAAAGCAGTTAGCTTAGTATCAAGTTTAGTTACAAAAGAAATGTATAGCTCATAACTTTATTTTAGCTTCAAATTCAACACTATAATTCATTGTTTAACTCATCACAGTGTTTGTCTGTTTGTAGACTGAACAAAGAGGGCATCATTTTATAGCTATGATGCATTTTTTAATGAACAAAAGAGTTTGCCAAGTCTGAAATGTTGATTACAGGTCAGATCTAATCAAGGAAAATGTGATTGTAACTGATTGGTGCTTCACTGTTTGACTATTGTGCTGGCTTGAAAAAACAACAATGACACTGAGAGTTAATTAATCTGCTAAGTTTTAATTAGCAATTTGTTAAAGAAAAAGCTATTTTGTTATTAACTTGATTTTTTTTTTTCAATAACCATTCAAACTGGCTGTTTGCTGCATCACAACTACATAAAACCCATATTGTTACACAGCATTTTTTAGGCTGGTCATAACAGGATATTTAATAAATCACACTCTATACAGTATATTAATGTCTAGCCTACAGCTTTTCATGTTTTTTTCCAGTATGTGCAGCCAACTGAAACGGCAGGACAGGTGTGATAAATCCAAGCGTTCCACTGCAGCACGGTGATTTCACACACAGTCTATCAGTGTGTTTATCTTGATTAAATCACAGGTTAGTGAAGGCGCACTAACAGAAGGTAACTGTAGATGCCTCTAGGCCCCACTCACTGCTTCCTCATAACATGTTTTTTCTTTTAAGATGATAATTAATGTAAAAGACTTGAAGTGGATGGACAGATAAAAAGATGGAGCCTACCACAGCTTGGGGAAATTATTCCCTAATAACCGCTGTTAGTGTACTACAGGATTTTAGACTTCCAGACTGCTTTCAGCCCTTTATTCCCATGTGTGTGCATATATATATATATATATATATATATATATATATATATATATATATATATATATATATATATATATATATTTAAATAAAAGACCAAACAAAGGGAAAAAAAAGAGTTGATGTGTTGGCGATGTGTTTCCTGAGGTGTTAATCAACAGCAGATATATTCTGAGGTGCCGTTTTTCTCGCCGTGTCACTCACTGACGGGTCGTCCTTGTTTCTGTAGAAAACACATGCTGACTCCTCGCTGCTCTGCCCAGTTCCAGACCGGCTCCTCTCGTTCCACGCCAGCGCACGTCCGACCGCGTCCCAGTTTGCAGAGGCGAGAACGTACGCTGACAGGAAGCCTGCGAAGACGAATATCCACAGATTTTAAAAACAACAACTCGATTCAGAGTTCAGAGTATTTGTTTTATTTCTTTTTTTACTTTTTCTTCTGATAAATCAACATATTTTGTGTGTTTACACTTTCAAACATCCAGACACTGATTCATAAAGATGTCTTATACTCTTGTCTGTGCGGTTTGATACACATGTCTCTGGAGCCTTTTGACAGATCTCACTTACTGGCAGCATTGTTTCCCACAGCCAGGATGAAGCTGGAACACTGCAGCTTGTTTCCAGCTTTCAACAACTCTGTGATTTCAGGGCTCCAGTGAAGATGAACAGCTCTGATAAAAGGAGAGGTAAGAAAGAAAAGAAAAAAAAAAACTCAGTTGTAATTTTCTACCCCTTAAAGGAAAAACAGAACTAGAACCAATCTACAGTAAGCAACATATCCAGATTAAAAAGCATAAAAGTTAAAACTAATATCCAATCTTCTGCCACAGTTATTCTGACCGATCTGTTATTGTTTTGCAAAAAGCAGCACTGCTAAATTAATCTGAATCATTCAAAGTGCCTCTGCTCAGCCCACTCACAGCAACATAGAAATGATGGGTAACATAATGGAAAGACGTCACTCAGTGAAGACACTCCAACATTCAAATTATCACTCAAATAACACCTTTAGGAAAATGCTGTAAACAAACACAGCTATGACTCTTGATGGAGGCGGCCATTTCAATTAAAATACTCTGCTTTTTTCTTTTTAATCACAGCCGATAGCTGCTGATCCAAACTTTAACTCTGCTTATTGACGAGCACATTGATTAGCACTATAGTGCCATTTTGGTCTTTGGTTCTGCAGAATGCAGAGCGGTTAAATTCATCTAAATAATTAGAAGAGCTTCTCTCTGCCATTTTTTCTAAAATCCAACCTTCCAATCTTGATCTGGACTTTTAACTATGATAATTTGTTTAAACTCTATTCAGTCAAACAGTCAAATGTAAGGTATTAATAAAAGAGGGAGAAATTAGCTGCATGTTCTTTGATCAAGCATAAATGAAGAGGTTAAAAGATGCTTTCTGTTGCTGTACCAAATATTTTTTTCAATTTGAAGTGATGAATTTAATGAACAGGAATAAAATAATGGAGGTTAAATGATAGGAAGAGGGAAAATTAACAAGGAGATACGTTAAGGAATATGAGCTGAACTATTTATCGGCTGACCTGAGCGTCACTAATCATGTCGTCTCTTCTTTACATTTGGTTTCCAGTTAGACATTCAGCATAAATTGGTACGTCTATATAAATAACAATAAGACTGAAAAAGGAATCTGGGACATATTTTTAGATGAAAATAGTTTCAAACCAACACTATTTTTTTTTAGCTGCACCGATCCAATACCTGGATCAGATTTCGGCTCCAATATTAATGCCTTAGCTGGATCAGACATCATTGATTTGATATTGGAGATCCATTTCGGCACACTTCACATTAGGGATCCACTTTTTTCACCTCCGATATGATAACGATATTTGAAGTTTAATGTTGGCCGATACCGGTAACAAAGAGTACATGTCAGACTAAATAATACTACTTCAGCAATAGTTTCAAGGTGTTGCTTTTAGGGGTGTAAATCACATCCATCATGGCGATTCGATTCAGTATCGATTTCCTGACCCAAAAATTCGATTATTTTCGACAGTCAAGAATACAACACAATACGATTCGATTAATTCGTTTTTTTTTGTTTTTGTTTTTTTTTTACACCTTACAGGCTAGACAATGTTTCAAATTTGAAATACATCAACGAAAACTGTAATATCGTTATGTTTTTTTTTTTTTTTTTTTAGAAACAACACCAAATAACAGAAGTAGAAAAGTTGAACTCTACCTATTCCTATTAAAACTTATTAAACCTTATTCACTGAAAAATAATGGGATATAGATTCTGAAAGGCCTTGCATAAAAAAATACTGCACAAAATCAGTGCAATGAGTGCAAAGCAATACCACGTCCCCGCCCCCTCCACAGACGCTCCGCTGCTCCTCTCCCAAATTGTAGCTGACCGCAAACAGTACCGCAGACAGGAGGCTGGTTTGTTTTGTTTTTATTACCGATATTGCGGAAAACAACTTATCAAGTTTGACCCGCTAGAAGAGCGAGGTGCACGAGAACGCTGGGACCCTTTTTCCACCTGGATCTCTGCTCTTTTTGGACCTCATGTCCCTCGGACTAAACTCGCCCCCACTTCCTCGCCGCCTCGGCCGTATCTAGACCCACAGTGTGTAGCACAGACCCTGCTTCAATATTGAGCATAACTTAAAAATGTCTGTGTCAAGCTTACTGCAGCACACTGCTGCAGGAGTATAACCAGGAAGCGAGGTAGGAGGGCAAAAAAGGTTTAGCTCCACCGCAGCACGGGAGGGAGAATTATGTCCAGGAGCAAATGGATAAAAATAGACTGAAAAAAAAAAAAAAAACATGAATCAATACTAGGGCTGCAACTAACGATTATTTTAAAAATCGATGAATCGGCCGATTATTTTTTCGATTAATCGATGAATCGGATAAAAAATATTTTTTATACTAACCTCTTTATTCCAAAATAAACATTTTAGACAGAACAAACAAGCACACAAGTACAGGTTGCTCATTAACTGTACTGGTGCAATATGAAAAATAAATGTTTGTGATAAAACTACGCAAACTTACATGAGAAATGTAGATGTACATCCAAAAAATATAGGGTACTTTGTTTCATAAAGCGCAAAAAAAGACATTTTTGTTTTTAAAAGCCCCTAAGGGGTTCAAACAATAGGTCCCCCCATTTCAACAAATGAGTTTTTTTTAGACTAGAAGAGTTCTGCCTTTTAAGACAGGAAAGTATAGCAGTTAAAGTTGCTGCTTGAGAAAATACTGAACCATAGAGATAAAAACAGCCCTGTGATTCAAATTATAAATTGTATTTGGAATAAAAAAGAGAGAACTAGGTGTGCTAAAAAACACATCCTCCAAAGACAGATATTTACATGGAAATGTGGCAAATAATTAATTTACATATTACTGATCTTCCTTGATTTTATTCTGCTTTACTTCCGTAAGTTGCAGGATCTTCTTTACTTTATCTTTGCCAGAAGATTTAAACTTTAAAAGCCTTGCCTTCATAATTTGCAAGTTAATTTATTTATAAAGAAAATATAAACGCTGCTTAAGATAATTCAAATGAAATTAAAAGTAAAATAAGTAGCCAACCTTATTACTGTCTGTAACCTACTTACAAGGTAAGGAAAGCATCAGATGAGCTACCTGAGAAACTAACGTTACGTTTCCCCACTTTAAAACGAAACAAACATGGTCGCTCACCCTGCTGATCTGCTCTCTTCACTGCCATCGACGGCTCCAACGTGTTTCCTTTTCAGGTGCTGCATCATAACAGTGGTGCTTCCGTGCCATGTTCATTTGTTTTTACAAAAGTTGCATGTTACGACTTTTTTCGCTTTACAAAGCGCAGGCTATTTTAATTATTGTGATCAATTTGCGCCGTCAATCCCGGCGCATGCGCGCTTCATTTGCAGTCTGGAAGCTGAGGGTAAACATCCTCTGACTGCAGCGCTGAGAGGGACTCCTGCGGGAGCGGGGTTGGGATGGGGGAGGCGCCCCACGGCAATGACGACGGCGGCGAATGACGCATTAATCGCGCGACACAACTAATCGATGATGAAATTTGTTGCCAACGCTTTTAAAAGTCTATTTTTATCGATTCGTTGTTGCAGCCCTAATACATACTCTTGCGGACATATCGATGTATCGATACGTTGTTGGCCGTTGGATCGATGCATCGATACAAAACGATTATTATTTACACCCCTAGTTGCTTTATTGTATGTCTCGTACCATGTCTTTCGGTTGTGCTGTTCTTTTTGTATCTCGAGGCAGGTAATGCAGCAGACTGAAAATGTTTAGTCATTGTCTCCTTTCTATCTTCTCTAGCTTTCATCTTTTCTCTTTTAGTTAATGTCTAAAACTCCCAAAATGTGTGAATTGTTAAAATTTAAATGTTTGCTTTTCATTCTGTTTGGGGATTGACAAATTTAACAAGATTAAATGCGATGATTGTGGGATACTTAGTGATATAAATCAAATGTCTATTATAAATATATAATTTGTGTGTGTGGGGGGGGCTATGACTGCTGGGGCATTCAGTCACAGCCAAATTGTTATACCTGAGAAAGACTGCAAAGAAGTAACAAGGAATGCTTTCATATTTCTGCATATGTCTTTGCACCAGTCTTTGAAAAAGAAGCTGATAAGTCAGTCACTTCATTTTGATGAGATCAAATTGATCTCAGATAATAAGGTAAAAAAAAATCTTGGATGTTATTTTTGATTAGGACCTGTCATTAAAATTACATATCAAAGAGGTTTCTAGAATTTCCTTCGTTCATCTCTGTAATATTGCAAACATTAGAAATATCCTGTGCGGGGATGAATCTGAGAAACTAGTCCATGCATTTGTTACTTCAAGGCTGGCCTATTTAAGGCCTGTGCGCCTTTTCCTCTCCACTGTCGCTACAAGCATGCTTAGTGTAAGGGGTTGTACTGTATTTGAGTCAATGCACTCAACTGGTTTTCCTTAGATAGATAACTTTGGATCGATTTCACTGTATGATCTGGTTGAACTGTAAAGTGCCTCGAGATGACATGTTTTGTAAATTTAGCACTATATAAATAAACTGAATTGAAATTGAATTGAATTGTGGAGCTGGTTTACAGTTGCCTTTTGTATCTCCGCTTCTTTTTCTATGCCTGCCTGTGTCCTTGAACCACAGTCGGCCTCGGCAGATGGCTGCTCACACTGAACCTAGTTCTGCTGGAGGTTTCTTCCTGTCAAAAGGGAGTTTTCCTCTCCACTGTCGCCACAAGCATGTTTGGTGTGAGGGATTGTCCTCCAGTCGATGCGATCAACTGGTTTTCCTTTGATAGAAAACTTGGAACCAATCAGACTTAATGATTACATGTTGTGAATTGGGGCTATATAAATAAACTGATTTGAACGGGTATAAAGCCATGTAAGAAACGCATGGGCTGAGAGAACAGGCTAAATTCATGCAGTGTCCCAGACGGGATTCGAACCCACAACCTTCTTGGTTTAAGGCAACTACTAACTATTTATGGTTATCATTAGTATTTCTAAAACGTGTTCATTTGGTAGCTAAACATAGTGTTAAAACATATAAAGTAGCCCTCGTCTATGTGTTTAACCAAGCATTAATCTTTCGTTATCATGTCGATGAGGAGCTGTGGAAATGTCATGTGTCATGATAGCTTAACTATCCTTACACGCGGTTTTAAGTGGAAATACGAATCCGTTACAAATGTGCATATGGACTCCACACACGTGCTTTCCTTTAGTATGATCCGTTTTTTTTAATGTACACTAAATCAAACCTTATATCGCGATGTTTCCTGTTGCTTGGCTAAAATTCAGTCTTTTTCACGCTACACTGTTAGCTTATCTCACCTCTTCTCCTCCAGTTCTCTGCGAATTTGTTCGTCTTCTTCGTTTTCATCAAGCTCATCTTCATCCTCTTCAACAGCCCGAGAGTAAACAGATAAAACTTCTCCGAAAAACGTTGCCATGATTCAGGTGTTTCTCGGAGCAAAACGAAAGTTTAGGCTGGACAGGGGGAAAATGCAAACTTCCGCCGGTAGAAGGCCCTTCAAAATAAAAGCCAAACGGTCTAGACTTAAAAAAATAAAAGTACATGTTTTAATGTTCGGTTCCATGTAGTTTGGAAGAATAAACCACCATCTCGACCAGAGGCGCAGTCAGATTTTTTTTATAACGGTGGCCAGGCAATAACTGACGTACACTGAGGGGTGGCCGAAAGCGGATAGGCGCCAAAACCTCTAGGTCAATCTATTGCAACAGGAGAGCACAAAGTCCATCTTTTTTGGAGTTCTGACCACATTTATTCTAAGTAAGACAGAAGAGTTTAAACTTTAATGACCGTCTTTTTACAATATTTCCACACACACAAAAAAAACGAGAAGTCGAAAGAACGTGTCAAAGAGCTTGGAAGTTTCTTTTTAAACAGAAACAGAAATATCATTTATAATTTAGCGAAGAAATCAATATATTAGTAGGCATTAAACTGTGATATTTTAGAGTCATTATTTTACCCATGATATCTCTATTTCTAGATTTTTGAATCATTATAAAGACATATTTTTATCTTTAATGTGGATTGACAATAGAGTTATGTTATCAAAAACCTCTAGACATTTTACTACCTCCAAAAACAGGCTCATCTTGACAATATTTGGCATAACTCCTTTATTGTTTTCAGACATTTTCCTAAAGTTTTGGGCTAATGTCCTGAAAAACATGTTCAGTTCTGCAAAATAAACAATCATTAATTTGCTTGTATTGGTTTGTCAATTAATGCGGGTATATCACTTATCTGCATCACTGTTTTTCAAGCACCTTCTAAAATTATAATTTTCATTCTATATCACAATTTATTAGGAGAGCCTCAGATATGAATTGGGTTAAAAAGTGAAACAGGAGAATATATAATGGTATTGCTAAAAAGTCTTTTAGTTATTTAGTATTTCATGTAATGAATAGATAGAGAAAGCATATTTTAACTATCATAGATTCTATCAGAAAAAATAAACTTTTCACAAAGCAATGTTAAAATTTTTTATAAAAGATATAGTTATATTACATAAAAAGAAAAAGTACAAAACTAATTAAAAAGTGACAAAGTCATTGAAGAGGGCATGTCACTAATGGCCAGACGACTTCTAGAAGAGTCATGTTTTCAAATGAGATCTAAAGGCAAAACATCCAAACTATTATTCAAAGATATATATATACAAGTGATGAATAAATATCCTTGAATCTCAGAATTAAAATGGTGGTTGACAACCTTTTTTAGAATGACTGCCCTCCTGCGTAGAGCTTTATTGTCATAATAGCCATAAAAATGCAAATTAAGTGTTTCTACTTCACTTTTTTGTGTCACACTAGGTTTCTCCTGTTTTTGCTTTTGTGCTTTAGACAATTAAACATGTTTTTATCATTATAATTAGACAAGACTTAGACAACTTTTATGGTCATTTTGTATACACAGTGTTCACATAGAGAAAAACGTGGTGCAAAAGGCATTGATGTGTTCAGAGCAATGCAAAAACAAACAAATATATATTGTGCAAAAATGCAGTACAAAAACATTAATATATCTGTTTGTTTTTGCACTGGTCTTAACTTCCACATCAATGCCTTTTGGGCTATGTTTTTCTCTCACACTGTTCAATTAGAAAAACTGAACTGAGGAAATACAATTGAGACTTTTTAAATTGTGATTTATTTATCAAGGTGAAAAAAATGCAATATGAAAGAGTAATTGGTTCACAAATAAAATTGCCACATAGGACCAGGTTGGTATGGATTGTTTTTCTCCTTTAACAAAAACCTTAGATTTTCATTTTATTTTGTATGTTCTTTTCAGCTTTAATTGTGGTCAGGATGATCTAAATGATCAAAGAATGGGATATTGTTTTATAACCTAACTCTGCTTTAAACCTCTCCACAAATTCCCCTCTGACCTTTCTGCTGAGTCCCTTGCTTTACATGACGTAGTTTGTTTTCTTTGGTTCTCTGTCGAACCTCTGAGGCCAAAAATAAAACAACAGATTGAATTAGGGTTTTAAGACCAAACAATTCCTTTTAAATATCAATTTACTTTAAAGGTTTCTTTTTTGGGGGGTAACAGTGGGATCGAATGCGGGACTTTGCCTTGCAACTGAAGGGTTGCTGGTTTAATGTAGTTCTGTCTTTGAGCAAGGCATATTACCTACTGATGGTCAGAGGGCCCAGTGGCCCCGGTGTAAGGCAGCCTCAGGCCTGTCAGTGAGCCCCAGGGAGGCTGTGTCTACGATGTAGCTTGGCACTGTGATTGTGTGGATAAATGACTGAATGTAGTGTAAAATGCTTTAGTCCAAAAAGCACTTTATAAGTAAAGGACATTTACCATTTTTGATGACAAAAAAAATTTATAAAATGAATTTGAGGATTTTGTTGATCGGCTGCATTAAATCCCAATAAAATACCATCAATCTGTATATGTAATGTAAATCCCTTTATTGTCTCACAATGGGGAAATCTGTTTTATATATATATATATATATATATATATATATATATATATATATATATATATATATATATATATATATATATATATATATATATATATATATATATATATATATATATATATATATATATGTGTGTGTGTGTGTGTGTGACTAAATGTGAAAATATCCATGGGCTAACAAGGCTGTTTTAAAGCACTGTAACTTATCGTTTCCATCAGTGCAGAACCACAGCTCCCGACAATCGCTGAAGCAATCCACTGGATTTATGCCCGAGCTGTTCATTTAAAGCCACTGAATGATTTAAAGCTGCAGCTCCTCCATATGTCGTTATACAAGCCACACTGACCCAAACATGACAAGCAGCTTGAGCAGACTGTCCTATGTGCTATTTTCAGCCCCTTTCTTTACAAATCAAATGTAAACCTGACAGGCAACATGACTGAGCCCCGTTCTTTCTGGAGATGTATATTTAACATCAGAAGGAAGAGGGAAGAAAAGGAGAAAAGCAAAAGGATGCTGGCAGATCATCTTCAGCACGGCTGGCTGGAGACATCAGCCAAGTCATGCTGGGGTAAATTGGCCTGGAGTTGAGTGCAGAAAATCCATCTCTTCTATTGTGTAGTATAATTCATTTTCCTGTAAGCGGTGCCCTGGGAGATGAGGAGAAAAACAGAAATGTGATGATATCAGCACAGTCATAAAAATTCTTCATTGTCACCAGAAAATGTCCAGTCTTGGAAAGACGAATAGGAGAGCAGGACAAAGCTTGGAGGAGAATGGAAAGTTAGACCTATTACGGGAATTGTGCAATAATGAATCAGGAGGCCATAAAGTAACTGCAGGAAGGTTTTCCTGTCACAAAATGGAGCAACATGCTACAGGGAAGCTTTGGGCTGCTGTTAAAATAATTGATGGTTGGAGAGAGGACGAGGGAGGGATGTTCTTCAGCCTAACAGACACAGAAGCCTCCAGGGGTGGAGACAAAGAAGAGTAGAATAAGAAACAGGACAAACATGCTTGTTACCGTTTTACTGGCCACTAAGACAGGGAGTAAGAGACAATCTGCCAGAGGACAATAACAGGTCTTTTTGTCCTAACCTCATCTCAGCAGAAAAAAGGGTAGAGAAATCTGATGGTCCTTCGTTCCTATTTCTGTCACGATCCATGGTTAACAGGGAGACAAAGTCAGACAAAAGGATAAGAAGCAGACAGATTATAAAAAAACAAAATCGTTTTCAGGAAGAAAACCAAGCCGTTGATGCTGCAGATGCTGGAGCAAATACATTTGTTATAAACAAATTGTTAAATAAAACATTTTTTTCTTTTCCAACTGCAGTGTGTTTTATTGGGATTTCACATAATAAATCAGAAAAATATCTGATAAGTATAAAGAGAAATGATAAGGATCCTTCTTTTCTAAAGCATATATTGAGTCCCCATTTTCTGATACTCCTTAGTATAAATCCAGCACCATTACTTCCAGAAGTCACCTTCTTAACAAATCGAGTAAACCCGAATGTAATTTAATTTAGTTATATTTAGATTATCTGTGAAGGCCTCAGAGAAAATCAAACAGTATTACAAAGGCTAAAGAACAAAGCAGACAGGGAGAAGGTTGAAGGTGAATGCAGACTTAAGCTATAAACAATAGTCCATGTTTTTAACAGAGGAGTAAGTACCGGTAAGTAATGTATATTTATATAGCACCTTTCACAGACATAAAGGGTCACAAAGTGCTTCACAAAATTACAATAGAATACAAATACATTTACAATTAGAGTAAAAAAACATGGTCATAAAACAACCCTTAAAGGTATTGTGGAGGATTTTATCAATTTTTTTTAAAAGACCCGTCTCTACTTTAAACAAAATGCGTGTGCGAGTGTGCACGGGCCCATTTCTCCTTGTGCACGATCTGTTTAAAAGTTGCTGTTCTCATAGCTCATACAAGCTTACTGTGTCCGAACGTCCGCCCTAACCCCTAAATCCCTCAATCACTATATAGAGTGGGGACTATATAGTGAACTTATTCAATTTACCATTCGGACAGATAATCGCTTCCACGTTGATCCACTGTGCAGTGCCTGCACCATCTTTGTTATTAGTCCCTGCTGTCCTGTAGCGACAGCATGTAAGACGGCCTTACGTAAACATATCACCAGATTGACTGACAATTAGGAGGACCACTTATTTTGATGACCCACCCGGGAAAAAAAAAGAGCATCCTCTTTACCTTTAATCTGATAGAAATAACATGGATTCTTAAACAAATAGGTTTTCAGTTCGCTCTTAAAAACATCAACAGAATCAAGTAAGTGCAAGGAAAGCGGAAAATTGTTCCAGATAGCGGCTTGACCGCCTGAAAGGAACGATCTTCCCAGCTCCTGTACTGACCAAGGACTGAACAATCCAAAATCTGAAAGAAGAAAGACAAGTTCAAAGCTTCAATCCTACCTTCAACATGGCTGAAGGCTTAAGCTCTCCAACAGGAGAGCATAAATAATTGAAGAAAAAACGATATCATCATTGAAGAAGCTCCAGAGATTCATTGCTGAGGT